TGCCTCGGGGGCTGACAGCATCACCCTTCAAGGATGCACTCTATACCTCACTGAGCCAATACGGAACCTCAGAGTCCTGTTCGACCCTCAACTGTTCTTCATCCCCCATATCTGTACCTTTCCCCACCTCCTCAACCTTGCCTGGCTCCGCTACTGTGTCTCACCGCAGGCCGCCGAGACCCTCATCTGCGCAATCATTACATCCAGGCTCGACTACCCAAACTCTCTGCTTGTCAGCCTCCCCAATTCCTCCCTCACAGGCTGCAGATCATCCAGAACTCTGCAGCCGTGTTCTCTCCCACACCAGGCTGCGCACCCTTATCACCCCCATTCTCGCCGGCTTCACTGGCTCCATATCACTCAGAGGATACAGTTGAAAATCCTGGTCCTCAAAGCTCTCCACGGCCTTGCTCCTCCTGATGGATTGTGAAACTCCATCCCACAATCCCTCCACTTTGCCCCCTCTGGCCTCCTTCAAAACCCGTCTCAAGACCCTTCTCTTCAACTGTGCCTTCGGTCATCCTCCTACCCCTACTCTCCCTGCCCTCCATCCCTCCTGATCCCAACCACCAGCTCAGGTGCAGATCCCTGACTGTTCAGGGTTTTGGGACATCCTCCTGACGTGAAAGGCACTATATAAACGTAATGTATTGTTATTGTCCTCCTGATGTGAAAGGTGGTGTATAAGTGTAAATTGTATTGTATTAGATGAGTACAGTGACCGTAGCCTCTATCATTTGTAATGTTACAGCTATCAACTATCCTCTGTGTAAAGAAATACTTACTGGTATCTGTTCTAAATCAACCCTTCACAACTCTGAAAATGTGGCTTCTTGTCTTGCTCCATTTGGCTTATCTGAAGATTTATTCTATTTTTATTTAATCCCATTAAGAATATAAAGTAAGGAAGTTATTACAAACCTTTATAAAACATTGGTTAGGCCTCAGCTAGAGTATTGTTCAGTTCTGGGCACCACACTTTAGGAAGGAAGTCAGGCCTCGTAGAGGGTGCAAAGAGATTTACCAGGATGGTACCAGGAATGCGGGACTTCAGTTATGAAGAGAGGCTAGAGAAGTTTGGATTATTCTCCTTGGAACAGAGAAGGTTAAGGGGAAGTTTAATTGAGATTTTAAAAAATATGAGGGGGTTGGATAGGGTGAACAGGGAGAAACTGTTTCCACTGGCCAGTGGGTTAGTAACCAGAGGACATAGATTTAAAATAGTTGCCAAAAGAACCAGAGTGGAGTTGAGAAGTTTTTTCACACAGCGAGTTGTTCTGATCTGGAATGCATTGCCTGGAAGCCGATTCAGTAACAACTTTCAAGAGAGAAGTAGATAAGATATTTGGTGAGGGACAAATTTTCAGGGCTGTGGGGAGTGGGACTAATTTGGATAGCTCTTTCAAAGAACCGGCACAAACATGAGAGGCTGAATGGCCTCCTTCTGTGCTGTATAGTTCTATGATTCTATGATTAAGCATCTTGTATATCTCTATCAGGTCTCTTCTGTGACATCTCTATCTCGAATGAAATTATGTATCAAACTGGCTAAGTTCGTAGCACTCTTGAGTCAGACGGTTGTGAGTTCAAGCCCCATATAAGCACTTGAAACTGGGAGTATGCTGAAATATCGGTGGTGCCATCTTTCGTATAAGGCGTTGAAATCAAGGTCATGACTGTCTGTTCAGCGATCCCATGGCATTCAAGAAGAGAGTTTATCCAGGTGTCTTGGCCAATAATCCCTAAATAAAATTGGTCACACAATTGTGATATTGTCGTCCCATTCACCGACAAAATAGTCACACCACTTTACAGTATATCCTGTGCTACATTTATCCAAGGTGTCGTTTGAAACATTTTGTATATTTCAGGCCCCTCTTAAACAGTATTTCTGAATAGAACGATTACTGTTTCATTGTTATATTTAAGTTCAGAGGGAATTTCTTCCTGTGTCCTGACAGCAATCTCCCAAATAAAATTTGGTTATTCACTTCATGGCTGTTTGGAGGACATTGCTATGCGCAAATTGGCAAGAATGCAAGAATTATTATTTGTATTTAATGGTTTAAAAAGATAAAATATGGTATTTTTCATGGATATTTTGAGATCTTATTGCAATAGACTGACAAAAACATTTTTGAAGGATTGTCATCAGTACTTTATGAATAGCATTCCATACTTGTAATAATGCTGTACTTCATTTTAGAATAATAAAACATAGAAAGATAAAGCAGAGAAGGAGTCATTTGGCCCAGTGTGAGCAGACCAGTTGATTTACTTGGGGTAGTGAAGAATGCTGTGCTTAAATCTGATATATAACTGGGAATGTTTGTGCTATACCAAGCCATCACATTTGTGTATGAATGCTCGCCATTTTTACAATACCTTGGTAACAGGATACTTTGCTAATATGAATGAATTAATGTAGAGCTCTTAAAATCCTAGATGAGAGGCTTGTCTACCAGTAGGTGGTTTTAGTAATATAGAAAATAAACTAACACAAAGACTGTTTGTGGGACACTGCTGTGCGCAATTGGCTGCCGAGTTTCACCCACAAATATACAGTCAATTCACTTCACAGCTTTGAAACATCTGGAAGACGTGATAAGTGCTACATTAAATGCAAGGATTGTTATTATAAAATATTGTACAATAAACCTCACTTAAGTCATATCAATTGGTTCCACACCTTTGATATGACTTATGCAAAGCATGAATTATGTCAAACTTGCATAGAATATAAACTCTTGAATGGGACTTGGGCAGATGCTCATTATAGCTATTCCATGCCCAGCTTGTTGGGAACACTTTTCCTAACCTTAGAAAATGCTCTCAAGAGCAGAAAAGTGTCTCTGACATTTTTTAACTAGAGATGTTCCATTTTTATTGTAACTCATCTTACATTTTCGGAATGGACAAATTGTTTAACTGCAGTTCTCGATAGTTGTTCTCCTTCTGTCCTGTCACCTCACAGAGCACAGGACAGAGTTTTGAGAATAAGTACTGTCATAATCTATAAAACAGATGGGGAAGGATTGGTGTTTCCTCAAAAAATGTCTTGGTCATTATTGTTTGTTTTTTCCTCCAACCCCAAGTGGTCAGATATTAACTGCCTAGAGATAGTTTGTGTATCTGCTATCTTTTTTTCCGGGAGGGGAATGGCTTTTTTCTGCTACTTTGATTTCAGTCACTGTATTTACCAAAATCACTATCCAGTGTGTGTATGAACTTCTTATTAACAACACGATTTGACTAATTCCTTCCATGGTCAAGCACCCTGTTAGCGTTTACTGCCTCAGATTAAACATGAAAGAATGTAGTTGGCAAGGCTCCATAAGGTACTGTGGAACTGCAAGAGTTGGCAATTTAAGTTGGGGTGGGGTGGAGGAGAAAAAGTTGGTAACATGCATTGTGTTTAATTAAATAATTGATGACATTGAAATTTAAATATTTTAAAGTAATGCAGCAGCTTGAAGACTTGTATTGTTTATATTGTATATTAAATTTGAGTGCCCATTTTGACTATTGTTAAATACAATTTAAGTATTGCTGACATGATGAGGAATGGTGGTATTTATAGGATGGAATATTTAATCCACCCAGTTGCTGGTGTCGGATACACTCAGGTTATGTATATCGTTAGGTAAATGTGAGAAGGGCACATTTATACTATAAGTTTTTTGTCACTGTTATGACATCTTTTGGATGATGCAGAATCCAAATGTGGCACATAGTGCTGCAAATGTGCAGTCCACACCGCGATTTCTGACAAATCAGCAGTTTGAGAGCGATGTCTTGCCCCTATTGCAGAGCCAATTTTTTTACCTTAAAACTTACAGTCAGCTGTTTTCTAACATTATAAATTTCATGGCAGTCATAAACCAGCGTGCAAAGCTTTGCACACATGTTTAAGTACAAAGCAGAGATCTGGTTTTCCTAATTCAAGATTTTTGGGAGGGGGTAGTATAAACCAGTCTGTACTTAGCAGTGCTCTAGATAATGCAGTATAACTAGGCCGTGGTTCCCGACAATAACCCTGTATCAAGAGAGCACTTTCTTCTGAATCACACTGTTCAATTTTCTGCTGTGAACAAGCTCCCAGTGGCATCTGGATTGAGACTATACAAACTAATCTATTTAAGTCTGTCAGAGAGGAGATTTTCTTCCCATTAGTGAAGTCTGGATTTGAGCCAGGTTCTGGGGATGGTACTCAGGCACTTTGAATCCTCATTTACAAACCATTTTGATTTTGTTCCATGGATAAGTCAAATGCCATTTATTAGTTATGAGTTCTGTAAGTGAGGGAAACATTTTTTTCAATATTGTATACAGATTTACCATTGAGTTTTGTAAATATTGAAAAAAATTAAATCTGCTCAATATATGTTATATATAATGGAAGCATAAATCAGTGTGGAAACTGGAATCACAGTTGTAATTGGCACATCAGCAATTTTGAGAGACAAAGGGCAAGGATTTTATGAGGGGAATGGAAGGAGTAAAAAAAGAAGCTTTATATACTGTGGTTGCAAATGGATGATGTGGTTAACTATTTTCGTCTATCTTGTGTAACACTGCAATACACAGTCTTGTGCTGCTATACTGAATGAGTTTTAATATGTGTACAAAGTATAACTGCATTGATCTTTTTTCTTATTCAATGAGAAAATCAGTTGCTCTAAGAGATAATCAAAAGCATCAGAAGAAAAAGGAAAGTAATGATCATCAAAACTCAATTTTTAGTGCAGAGTATCCATAAAGCTTTTAATTTAAGGAAATGTCAATGAAAATTCAAGAAGGGGTTCTTTCTTATTGTTTGAAGTTGACTGGAAACCACACATAATTGTGGATAAACTTATGAGAGCAACCTAAAGAAACCAAGCGAGTTTGGAATGAATATTTTGGCTAAATTTTGGAATTTCAGACTTGGGGGCTAGCATGTTCAAAATCAAAATACTCACTATCTTGTTTTTGTTTCCTTCATTTTCCAAATGGTTTAGGATCTATGAAGGATCTAACTGGGAACCATAAAGAAAAGTTTGGCAGCTCAAGGATTTGGAAGTCTTAAACGATCCAAATAGATCTCGTCAACTATAAATATAATTGTGGGAAATTTGACAGACTAGAGTTAGAAATCTACAATGTACAAAGGTACCTGAAAATGATCAGCAATATGCAGTAAACTTTATCCATTATGGATTTTCACAACTCATTCATTGAGAAATTTAGATGTATACTATTGCAGATCTTCAATCTTTATAATTGCCTAATTCCCCAAAAGTGAAACATTTACAACAACAACAAGATTCCATTTAAAGAGCGCCTTTCACGTCGGGAGGACGTCCCAAGGCGCTGTACAGTAGGGTCAGGACCCGAGCAGGGGGGAAATGGTCAGGGTGAGGGGAGGGAAGGGAGTACTTACAGTACTTAGAATTCCTAAATGCTTTCTAATATTACATCAAGTCCTTTCAAGCCATTAATATGTATTTAAGATCAATCAAATTCTTTTCTTGCAGTAATAGAGAATGGCGCAAGTTAAAGTCCAGACTGCAGCAAACCTGTCGGGGTCTACCCTAGGTGCCACGGTGCAATCACCATTGGTTACTAGTGCAGCTCCTCTGGGTCTGCAGCCTTCTGTGAATGGGTCAGTCCCAGCCTCAACTTCCAGCTGTGTCAGTCCTGCAGCTGGACTTGTGGATTCTACTGCTTCACTTAATAACTCACCAGGTAAGATTTTTTTTATTTTCATACTCTTTCAAATTTACAAGTGGTAATGCCACCCTGTGACACTTTAGTACAAAGAAATGTGTGAAAGTAATAGAAGGTAAAAATCGGCAGAATCAATTCAACAACAACAAATATAGATTTATATAATGCCTTTCACATCGGGAGGATGTTGTAAGGTGCTTGACGGTCCTGGCTTGTCTCCTGAGCTGGGGCTGGGAACCAATGGAGGTGGGGAGGGGGGAGGATGACCGAAAGCACGGTCTTGAGATGGACCTTGAAAGAGGCGAGTGAGGGGCCGAGTAAGAAGTATCTTTGGGATGGAGTTCCAGAGAGTGTTGGCATAGAGGCTAAAACCTGAACACCGATGGTGAGTCGGGTAAAGTGGGGGACATGAAGCAGACCAGTGGGTACTGAGTAGAGAAAGTGGCCGGGTTGATACGGTTTGAGAAGTTCGCAGAGTTAAGATGGGGCAAGGACATTGAGAGATTTAAAGGTGAGGGGCAAGGATCTTGAACTTGATCTGCTGGGGAATGGGGAGCAAATAGAGCTGCGTGCGGATTGGGGTAATAGGCTCATGGAGCCTGGTGCAGGAAAGGTCACAGGCTGCAGAGTTCTGGATAGACTGCAGTTTGTGTAGGAAAGAGTTGAGTAGTCTATTGAGCAGAGCTTTGGTATCAAGCCTGCATATGGTAAATGCATGGATTAGGGTCTCTGCAGCCTGAGGAGAGAGGTAGTGATGGAGGCAGGCAATATTACAGAATTTGTATGATTACTGATTTTATGCCAACTTGCATTTGATCTAGGGCTTTTTACATCCAAAAGTACTTCATACAACAAGTTGTTTTGGAAATTTGTAAACTGAATTTGATTACTTGCAACATTTTGCATGACTAATAACTGTAATATGATGTGAAGTATTCTGTCAGCTAATCAAATGTGGAATCTGCAGTGCTTACTGAACAGCTAAATAAAATGAGTGTTTCTAGGATGTAAAATGATCATATAAATTTTTTATGGCTGGGGTGATCTTATGAATTTGAAGTCTCTTGGCCTAAAATTCCGTCTGTTTTTAGACTGTATGAACATTTTGTTTTAAAATTAAAATTGCTCAGAATTGTGTAATATTCTTAAATTCAATCTCAATTTGGAAACCCACATTTAAAGATTGTGGAAAACTGACTTCCAAATTCAGATGAATTTAAGAATTTTCCACAATATTGCGCAATCTTAAAATACGACAACATAAAACGTCTTCTGGGTGGAATTCCAGGCTTCCTGTGTCCAATAAATGAAGTTTTCTTTCAAACAAGTTTGAAAGTTGCGAGAGATCAAGGAGGCACAGGAACCTTGGTTGTAGACAGAGGTTGTCATTTGTGGCTTTGACCAGAGCTTTCTCAGTGCTATGGATGGAGCGGAAAATTGATGGTCTCATAGAGAGATTGGTGGGCAAGGAAGGAGTGTAATTCGTCAAAATAGTAAAGCCTTTATTTTATTAATGCTCGGGGGATGAGAGCTTTGTATCACAGAGCTATAGAATGTTAACACAATAGTGACCTCTGTTGGACATACAAGAATATCCAAGAAATCTTCAGAAATCACTTTGTGTGTAGAGATCCTGAAGGATGTATCTTAGCTTTTTCAATTCAATTCCCATTAAACCACAGAAAAATAATAAATTATGTTGCAATTAGATGATTTTAAATTTAATGAAGAGGTGTGTTTACACTGCTAGTATTCTGTGCTCTAGCTGTAACTAATGCAGATGTTATGTAATTTCTCTACCAACTCTTTTCCAACATAAGAGATTTCAAATGAACGGGAAGTCAGTGAGCAATGCATGCATGAATGTGTCTAATATGCAGCTCTGCTGATGTTGGACTGGTCAAAGAGAGCCTCACAAGCAAAGTTGCCCATTCTCACCATTCCCAGACATACTACAGAAGCAGCAGTTCTCAGTGTGTTTAACTTTTCTTCATTCACGCAAGTGTTTGTGACAGTGTTGGAGAAAGTAATGCATTTCAACCGTTGCTATATATAAATGTAAGCTGAAAGGTAGTGTACTTGTAAAATTTAAACCTGTTAAAAATGTTGGAATAATTTTATAGTTGTAGTTTATTTTCATAGCTTGGCGTTTAGTTTATTTGTTCAACATTTGAAGTCTGGTTGAGAATCTACTGTGAAATGTGTGTTTCTGTTCTTATTTCTATTGTTACTGAAACCATTTGACTTGAATAGAAAGCAGATGACCTAGCAATTACTTTCATTATTTTTTGTGTTTTGTGTCTAAGTTGTGTACTCAGGGGTTAACTATATATTGCTGCAAAGGGAGACTTTCAAATTATCAAAATGATACTTGGTTTCAAATTATGGCTAGGTTTTTGAAGAAGAAGTAAATTGTAAGATGTGAAGAATAAGGAAAAACTGCATATTTACTCAGGTCCTCGACCACCCGTTGGAATCGGGGGAGATAGTGGAGCTAGCTTGTAGGAATTGGAGCCCACCTGAGCAAAGCAGAATATCTTTTTGTCCCGCTCAATCTTTCATTCATCTTTGGTTCCCATTTGTGAGTTTTAGATTAGGATCGAAAATTTTTAATTTTGTTAGAATATTTCTACATTATTTGCCACTGACATACCGATCAGCTTGGATTATTGGCTCGTGTTTATACTGGTGGCGATTTCCACGTTTAATTTGGGTTTAAGCATAAATTAACAAAATTGCATTAATTTGAAAAAATCCAATTTATCCAATCCAATTAAATTTATTATTGGCTATAGCATTGCCTTTAGTTATCTGTACTTCAGTATATTGTAGAGTCATTAAAGTAATAGATAAAGTTGAAGCAGAGTGAAGAACAAGTACATTTCTAGGGAGACATTTTTTAATTTGGAGAGTCCACTATAATTATGCATTACTATGTATTTGCACATGGTATATTTGCTTAAAAGGTTGGCTACAGTTTCTTTCCAGGAAAACATGGCAAACCCCAAAGAGAAAACCCCAATGTGTCTGGTGAATGAGTTAGCCCGTTTCAACAGAATCCAGCCCCAATACAAGCTTCTGAATGAAAGAGGGCCTGCCCATGCCAAGGTAATATTTCCAGTTACATGAAAAAAAGTTTCCATTGGAATTTTACAGTATGTCAAGAGTTGCTTCTCTTGACGCACTGTAATACCCAATGCGTCCAAGTTTAGTGTTTTGAGTCATAAAATTATCTTGACCTCATTATAATTGTTACGTATATAATAAAATTAGGGTGTGGTAAACCAGTGATCCTCTTATGACAGTGTGGCTTGATATGTCTTGAGTAATGCTTACTTATGAATCATAGAATTATATAGCACAGAAGGAGACCATTCAGCCCATCGTGTTTGTGCCGGTATACTTGGTTACTGTGCTGGAATAAATGGTTTTATCCATGCATTTGTCAACTCCGCCTAGACACTTCCAATTGTCCTCCTCGCCCATTTCCCCAGGTGCACCATTCATAAAATCCAGTTTGTTCAAAATTCCGACATCCATATCTTCACCTGTACCAAACTCTGCTCCCCATCACCCAAGTTCTTGCCCGCTCCACTGGCTCCTTAATGCAGAACATATCAAATTAAAGATTATTGCACTCATGTACAAGTTACGTCATATGCTAGCACCTCCCTACCTCTCCGACCTTATTACACCTCACTCCTCTACCTGCCCCCCTCACTCAGCTCACGCATGTTCAGACTCAAGACTTTCCTTTTTGGCTTCCTACAGTCACCTTTACTCTCTCCCTGGCTTAGCATCAAGCTCTGCCCTGTTAAGCACTCTGATTCCCTACCCTGTACGAAGAATGCTATAAAAATGCAAGTTGTTGATTGAATAAATCGTTGTCTTTCAATCTTGGAAGTGTGCTAATTTTTTTAATAGCTCACTTAATAATTTTAGGTTCCCCTTAAGTTATCTGCATCACTTTGCCTGAATTTTTTTATGAATCCTATTTATCGTTCCCCCAAAATAGAAAATTATGATTTGTCTGTCCATCTGTATATTATAAATGTTTTGCATCAACAAATTAAATACTTGTTCATCAGTCTCTATGTTTTTTAAAATGTCACAAAATTGTTAATCTTACTCAGGGAAGCTACAGAGTAGTTGGTATCAGAAATGGAAAATATTACATTATTGCATGATTCAGGTGGGGATCTCTGAGGGAGCAATGTAACTAGAGTGCAGCTATTCTTTGCATCAAATCTTAAAGTTCCTGTGAAGATTCTGTGCCACTAAAGAGAAGGGATTTTCTCCTGGTCAACATTCCCCAAATAAAATTCGCCATTCAGTTCAAGACTGTTTGTCAGATATTGGTATATGCAAATTGCTTGCTACATTTTAGTAGCCTTGAAATGATCAGAATACTGTGATTCTAAACCAGAACTTCTGGTGATAGGGACGCCATAGATGGTGTCAGAATGTTTGGATTGACGTGCTGGGATATGGTTCCATTGACACTGGTCTCTTGCACAAATGGTCATTCTTCATCTATTGGACTAGATTGTATTGCCAACAAACTACATTACCTCTTCCATCATCCTGGCTGAGATTGTTAAACAGACTGGGGTTGATCTAGGAAATTCCTCTCTATGCTGATCTTGAACAGTCCCTTTTTTATCTGAGCCTACAGTTTTAAATGATTGAAAAACAGTTATTTATGTCTACATAGGGAATGGTGAAGACAAATGCATTTTTGTTATGACTGCTTAATGAAACCTGTCTACTTTAAATATACAGTATATATAAAAAATCTTGTTTAAGGCTATAACTAATTATAGCTTTGGTTTGTTAGGTTGAGGACATTCTTAGAGAAAGCATTTGAAGAAATTGAAGATTTGGAGAGACTGTATGGTATAATAATGTATGCAGTTTTTCATTAATAGTACATTGAAAATATACCTGTGGTTTTACTAACCTTTGTTTTGGAGAAAATAAATCAAATCAAGTGGTTCTGTTTTTACTTTTGTGTGATTTGTTTCTTTTCCCCCATAGATTTTCACTGTGCAGTTGACCCTTGGAGAGCAGACTTGGGAAGCTGAAGGTAGTAGCATTAAAAAAGGTCAACATGCTGCTGCAGCCAAAGCATTGAGTGAAACAAATCTCCCAAAACCAACTCCACGGCCACCAAAAGCAAATATGAATAATAATCCAGGTACTGGGCATTTCATGTTGTTGTGTTGATTATTTCCTTTAAACAGTAATTAGATAAACTTCTGGTTGGAATTTTTTTTGAACATATAGGAATCTTTTATTGGTCATTCGGGTGTCTGACATGTGGAAACCCATGCCTATCAGCATGCTTAACAGATCCAACCTCTTTGCAGAAATGCATCTTAACCATCTTCAATCTTGCTATTTAAATTTACTACTTCTGCAGACATATTTGCAGACTCCAGGCCATAAGACACCATTGGAAGTATCTCACTTATTCCATTTCAATCGGTAATGATAGTATAAATGGGTTAAGATGCATTTCTGTAAAGAAAAGGCTTTAGGGATTCTAATGAGAAAACTGATTTTTTTTGAAAAAAAGGACAGGCTTATTAGACTTAATGATCTTTCCCCATTTCCTCCCCCCCCCCCCCCCGTGTATTTGGTAATACAGATAAACTTGAATAAGTTATATCATTTGGGACCATAACATTTAATATGACTTATGTGAGGTACAAGTTACGGGTAAACTCGAGTAAATTGTATTGACCGATTTAATACGACTTATGCAAAGTTAAGTGACATGATAACGGGTCAAGAGTTTGTTTCCTGTGCATGGTTCAAACCCAGCGCTAAGTACATATGTAGTACTTCATCACTACAGCCGATAAATGTGCGTCCGGGCCTTCATCAATATGGCCAGTAATTGCGCTTGCGGTACTTCATCAACACAACTGGTATGCAGATGGTACTTTATCAATACAACTGTTAAGCGCTCATGCAGAACTTCATCAACGCAGCCAACAAATGCCATAACGGCCATACGAGTTAGGAGATGATTTACATTGGCATTCAGGATTATTTGAAACCAAGAAACTGTTATGACTCAGTTGTTTATCCGACTTGTAAAATACGACTAGTGCAAAGAAATTAAGTGGCTTTTCATAGGAAAATGAATGGGCTCTGGTTCATGTACTAGGCAATTATACAATTTGTAACGATAATACTTATGTGAGTTTACCTGTATATTTTACATTTAAGTGGAGCAATAGCAGTTGTGAAATCTAAACGAGAGTGATGTAGAGTTTTCTTTTCAATTCTATGTGAACATTTTGTTTTGTGTTTCAGGAAGCATAACGCCTACCGTAGAGCTAAATGGTCTTGCAATGAAGAGGGGCGAGCCTGCTATTTACAGACCTTTAGATCCGAAACCAATGCCCAACTACAGAGCTAATTATAACTTCAAGGGCATGTACAATCAAAGGTTAGTCTTGGAAAATTCTTACTAGTAAATCTCATTGTTAATTATAATTTTTTAAACTCAATCACAATATGGGAACAAACAACAACAAGAGTGCAGGTGTCTTTCGCAGTTACATATGATACCTGATAGGTTGAGTCCATGCCTAAGAAAATCAGAAATTCAAAACCAGAAATAAACAGTCTATTAAACTGTTTACGTTGTTGTGCAAGATTGACTCCTAAAATTCATAGATTCATAGAAGGTATAGCCCAGAAACAGGCCAACTGACCCATCCAATCTGGCCAGTGTTTATACTCCACATGAGCACCGCTTCCTAAATCTGTATTCAGGACTTTGTTTACCCTCAACCATGTATCTATGCGTTTTTTGAATGTACACGTGGTTCCGGCCCAACATCTCTGTCCAAGGATGCATGCTCCCATCTTACTAAGCCAGTCCGGAACCTTGGCGTCTTGTTTGACCCTCAACTATCCTTCCTACCTCACATCCGTGCCACATCCCGCTCTGCCTTCTCCCACCTCCACAACATTGCCAGGCTCCACCACTGTCTCACACCGCAGGCCGCCGAGACCCTCATACGTGCATTCATAACATCCAGGCTCGACTATGAAAACGCCCTGCTTGTAAGCCTCCCCAACTCCTCCCTCCACAGGCTGTGGATCATCCAGAACTCTGCAGCCCATGTCCACTCCCGCAATAGGCTCCGCCACTCTTACCACTCCATCCTCGTCCGACTCCACTGACTTCCCATCACATAGAGGATACAGTTCAAGATCCTGGTCCTCACCTTTAAAACCCTCCATGGCCTTGTTCTCCACTACCTCTGCGACCTTCTAACCCCCTACCAAGCTTCCCTCCGCTCAACCGGCTCCAGCCTGCTTTACGTCCCCCGCCTCACCCGCCCCACTATTGGCGGACGGGCCTTCTGCCATTCTGGTCCCACCCTCTGGAACTCCATCCCGCAGTCCCTCTGCCTCACCCCTTCCCTTGCCTCCTTCAAGACCCGTCTCAAGACCCTCATCTTCGATTGTGCTTTCGGTCACCATTTCCCCCCCCTGCCCTCGACCCTCTCCAATCCCGACCTCTAGCTCAGGTCTGAAACACTGATTGTCCAGCTCCTTCGGATGTCTTCCTGATGTGAAAGGTGCTACACAAGTGTAATTTTGTTGTTGTTGTTGGTAGAGAATTCCACACTCTGTGAAAATGTTCCTCCTAATCTCTGTTCTGGACCTCCCAGTTATGATTTTAACAACAACAACAAAATTACATTTGTATAGTGCCTTTCACGTTGGGAGGACATCGATCATCCAACTATGTTCTTGACCCCTTGACCGATGGAAATAATCTTTTCCTGTCCACCCTATCTAAGCCTCCCATTATGTACCTCTACCTCTCCCATTATATAACCCCTCAGCCTCCTGATCGCCAAGGAAAAAAGCAGTCCATCAAACCTTTTCCAATAACTGTATTTCCTCATTATGGCCAACATCCTGGTGAATCTCCTCTGCACTGCCTCCAGTGTTTTTTCATTTTCGTATAATGAGCAGCCCAAAACCGCACAGTATATTCAGACCAACATTCTGTTTCACAACCTTGATCGAGTAGTGGTTGGTGAGCTGAGTTATCGGGAAAAGGAGGATATCTTCTGAATATATATCCCTAAATCTAGTGGTGTATTGCTCAAGTCTGAGGGGCATTTAAAATTATATGTGCGAGTCTCATTTTTGATTGCGTAAGGACTGTTGCATGTTTAGAAAGGGGAACCTGATCTCTTGGAATTTCTCCTGCATAACGTGAAGTCTGCAAATAATGTTTCCAGAAATTTACATTACTTTTAACATGGGAATTATTTTGTTTGGTTAAATTTCGGTTATAATATTAATTATTGTACAGCCTACTAATTTAGATCTGTGGATTGTATCAAGGATTTGAAATCAATAGTTGTTTATATAAGTCTTCATTTTTACCCAAGACCAAATTTATAGTAAGTTTCTACACTGAACAATGAGGAATATGATTGCTTTTACAAAATGCTGCTTCAAAATAGGTTTATCTTTTCTGTTTTTATAGTTTGCTATCTAACATTTTATCAAAATTATTAAAACATGTAAGGATTACGTAGCCAATTCTTCCTCACCACTCTTTGTGCAGCCCTGGGTGACTACCACATAACTTTCCTTGCTTTGTGTAATTGCAAGGTCAAATCTGTGTTGAATGCTTTCTTCAAAAGCAGTTTGAACTATAGCAAGGCATCTGCATATTCACAAGTGATATTTCTGTTGTTGCTCCATGGATAATGACTGCAGTTTATAATCCCCTCTCAAGTTTAACAATAATAATAATAATCCTTGCATTTGATATCACGCTTTATCAAGTCTTCATGATACCTCAAAGCACATCATAAAATTCACTATAAAGTGAATTGACTATTTTGTGGGCGAAATACACTGTACACTGCACAGCAGTGTCCCACAAACAATCGTGGATTGAGTTACCATATTATTATTTTTTTGGGGAAGGATTATTACCACCGGAAATAGGATCCGCCAGTCAACTAACAAACGGTTTCCTACCTACTGCTAGGTAAACAGAGGCGTGTAGAATAAGTAAACTCGCCTAAAGTTTCGCCCTGACCTGGAATCAAACCTAGGTACTCTCGTTTGCGAGGCGAGTGCTCTAACCACTAAGCTACAGGACTACCAATTGAGGGGAGGGGAAGAGGTGTGAGCCTAACAATAATAGGTGGCACCATTTCTTCCCTGGTTATAATCTGCCCCCACCCCTGTAAACGTCATGGGTGTAACATTTTCCAGTGCTATTGGAAGAGGTTTCAATGTATAGTTCAAGAAAAGTGAGTCATCTTACTCATTTAGCATCTCCCTTTAATTTGAAAGAACAAAAATATAAGGGGGAAGAGGGGAAGAATGCTAAAGGTAATTTAAGAACAAGGTCTATCCACCAGCTCAATGAGTCAAACCTTGGGATGAAGCAGGACTTTCCTGAAGAAATGATCCAAATGTTTCTACATGCTTCATATTTTCTGGCATCATCCTTCTGTCATTCTACCTGGATATCAATGGTGATACTCTGACACTGATATTATTACTTGAGCATCAGTCTAATAGGGTTTGTAACTGACTAGACGTTTTTTGTGCCAGAAATTCCAATGGAGGTAAACCTGGCAGTTTATGGGATGTAGTCTAAATTTCGAGTAAACGAGCCAGTTGGGGAGTTGTCACATCACCAGGTTTCTCCTCTCTTCCCGAATTCAGTCATTTTTTCTCAGCACCTACAAACTAGAGAACTGCAGACAGCACTGTGTCAAACAGGAGCTGATGAGGTACACAAACTGTTGCTTTTTTTTTGCACGCCATAGAAAACTACTACTAAATTAATTCATAGTGAAAGAAATGATTAAGATTGTAACACTGTCACAAGCAATTCATGGAATACAGCCATGCATCTCAGAGATGCATAGTTTCACATCAGGATTGATGAAGTGTGGTGAGAACGAATACAGGGTGCTCCTGTTTGACACAGTGCTGAATGCAGAACTTCTCAGACTGAGACATCTACATGTGAGAATATGTTGGCCGATCCTTTTTGGAGAGATTAAGGTCAGCTACAGTCAGTGCAAGACCTGTTCTTCATGGGAGTCTGTTTCCTGACTTCCTGAGTTATGATTAAATTTCCACAGTAGTGGTTCGGGGTAATTCAAATAATAATAATAATAATAATCCTGGCATTTGATATAGCGCTTTTCACGTCGGGAGTACGTCCCAAAGCGCTTCACAGAACACACTGTAAAGTGAATTGACTGTATATTTGTGGGCGAACGCAGCAGCCAATTGCGCACAGCAATGTCCCACAAACAGTCGTAGATTGAAAATGACCAATTTTATTATTGTTTTTTTTTTGAGAGATTATTATTAGGCGTGTGGAGTAAGGAAATTTGCCCGAGGTTTCGCCCTGCCTGGAATTGAACTCAGGTCTCTCGCTTGCAAAGCGAGTGCTCTAACCACTGAGCTACAGGACTCCAAATCTAATATACATATGAATCCTGGGAATAATGACTTCAGCCGTACAAAGATTGTTGCAGCTAAGGTTGGCTTGCTGAACAGTCAATGTCATTTTTCATTATCCAAAGAAGTCTTGATTGACAAGTAGGTGACAAGTACCCTAAAGTGATAGTTTAAAGAACAAAACATTATGTGGCTTGTGATTGCAGTCTCTTTTAATTTTCTGACCTCTGTCTGATGCCTCCTTTGTATTTCCTGGATTTATAACCCTTCAAAGGGGGCGTTTCCATCAAAAGCCACATTGAAAGGTTATAAATCTAGATAGTATAAACCCACCCATTCTGCACCGAGCATTTAAGCAAATTCAATGATTCAACAAACTGGCTAGCCTTACTTCTGAAGCAAATCAATACAATTCTAGATATGAGGTGTCTAACATAGGGTGGGCTCAGTGCTTCTCTTGTTCAACAACTCACAGGGTATTGTGTCAGATATAGAGAGCAGGGACAAGGAATTAGTCCATGAATGGAACCTTCTTCACTAAATAGTTCATATAATCTTTTACAGCACGTCTCTTGAAAGGACCAGCTTAACCAAACAGTTTTTTTTAATTCCAGTAGTTTGTGTTCTTGATATTTAGTTGTGAATGCTGAAAACACGGACTGGAAATGTACTTGAAATTGGTTATTTTGGGCCTCTTTCCTCCATTAAAAAGAAGAGTTCACATGACAGCTGCATCACCTTTCAGATATGAACCAGGCTCAGAGAATAGTGCTCTGAAGGTTGGTTCTTTGGACTCAGTCTAGTGCAGTGTAGGGGGAGTGTTTCATTGTTGGAGATGTCATGCTTCAGATGAGACCTAAAATCAAAGTCTCATCTGCCTGTTTAGATCAACGTTGTCCTATGTCTTGGCCAACATCCCACAGATAAATACGTGATTCACTTCATGGCTATTTGTTGGGACATTACTGAAAATTGGCT